AGGGCGGCCGGAGGCATTGCTGCTGCAAGGGCAGAGGTACCCCATGCAAGGGGAGCTGCATCCCCAGCCCAGGCGGAGCAGAGATGCAGACCGCACTTTAGGCTGTAAATCTGAGCTAGGTATGATTTAAATAATTTTCCATCCAAAGCTGCCAGTAGGAGAGAGCAGGAATACTATCTCGTGGTGAAAGCAAGGGATCAAGTCTCAGCCCTCCTGGGTTCTGCCCTGAGATCTGCTACAGCTTGCATTTGTGATTTTCGCCAGGAACTTAAAGAGAAGTTATCCCTGAGAAAACAAACGAATAGGATGTTTGTAGTTCTGGTGTTTTTTTTTTTTAAATTTACATTGCATCTGCTTTTTTTAAGTAATGTATTGTTTTCCATGGTGCTGGTCACACAAACACACTCTGGTTCACAGCCAGGATGGGGTCCTCCGGCTGTCAAAGCACGCTGGCAGCAGTCCTGCAGGCTGGTCAAAGCTCTCACACACAGCTCAGACTGTTGCGTCTCCGGATCATGCCCTAAATAGTTCTTATGCAAACACACTGACCATGGCGTGGTTTGTACCAAGGTATCTAAAACCACCTCTTTGAGACAATAGGGGTGTAAGTCCTGGGAAGTTTAATTTAATTTGCAAAGCCTTCACTGCTGGTGACGATGTGCAGTTGGAGAAAGAACCCAGCCTGACTGTCTTGGGACACAGTATGTTCCTGAAGTTACTTATAAACTAACAAACACTATATGGAAATCACTTGTACAGAGTATGCATCCCCAAATGCACTTTTTCCAGTCAGTTTTAAGGTGTGATCATTCTGCACTTGACTCTACTCAGCTACAAAATGGAGCTAATAACCTCTTTGGGGAACATTACTTAAGCCAAGAAAGTAATGTTTGAAGTGTTTTGAGATCTCTAGCTGGAAATTCCCATAGAAAGTAAAACCAGCCACACAATGTTTACAGTTACAAGCTCAGTTTTGTGCCGATTTAAACTGGTAAAAGAAGAGCTCTGTCAGTAGTTATTCTTCAGTAAAACTCAGTCCACATTAAGACCAGAGCCCAGAAGTTACCTGACTCCCCTCACTAAGCTCAGGGCAGTGAAAAAAAAAGATGTTTCCAAAGACTTTTACAAGAGACAACATGCAGTTATCAGAGATGGAAACTGGGTAGGACAACCGGATTAACAGCCCTACGAGGAGTGTTGCAGGGTCTTTGGATGACTGGATACAGTCACAACCTTGATTTTCTTCTCTCTTCAGGGCAAAAAATCCCTTTTATTACAACAAGTTCAGAACTGACTGAACATTGTCAAAGTGACAGATGCAAAAATGTCTACTTATGCTTGAAAGATTCACTGCTCAATTACAGACCCTCAACTAAAGAGATTGCTGCAAAATGCCTGCACACCGTAAAATGAAGGAAAGTTAACAAAGGGTACCTAACGTTAGGGAAAAAGGAAAATCAAGGCCAGTACTCCAAAATGATAGATCGCTTCTCATGCATGATAATACAGAAATACATTTTTGCAGGAGGCAGTGCTAAGAGGAAGAGAAGGCCTTGGGACCAGACACCATGATCATTTCCTTCTTCTACTGCTCTTCTACAAGAAGCTACTTCAGAACTTAATTTCTTTGGCATCCATGTATTTTTAAGATTAAGAGCAGTTTTCTGTGGCCTCGTCCGAAGGTCCTGCACACAGAACCCATTCATCTGTATGAATGAAGCCACTAAACAAGCATCTTCTTGTAATGTCATGTTCTTAGTAGTCCTTTTATTTTTAATGCAGCATTTCCCAGGGATGCTGACAAATAAATGTAGTTTCAACCAGTCCGTTGGATGTGCTGAGACAAACAGGCAGATTTAAGACCTTACTTGACCACAAATGCACAAAAGCGCACACAGACGCACACATACTCAAGCGCGCATGGGAAAAGCTCATGTTTGGGGCTGAGTGTGTTACTGCACACATTTTTTCATGTACATTTTTGTGGGAACATTTTAGGACTCAAGTCTGGAAAATTCCACCACTTTATGTTGCACACCATATTACTGCTATGATCTCAGCTCTAGCCTGACTTTATACTAGTTACACTCCTTGCTCTGAAAGCTTGACAGGCTCTTAGGTGACATCAGCTATCTTTTTTTCATCAAGCATTTCTTAGCTGGTAAACCTGAAACTCCCTTTGTGGTTTCCAGTCTAGACTTCAATTTGCACTAAGTTTATCAGCTGGGTTTTTTTGGTGTCATCTTTACAAAAAAGGTCTAAAATATTCTGCATTTATTTCACACTTGTTTTCCAATAGATACTTTAAAATTATTTGCTTAAGTAAAAGTATTTTATACCAATTACATCTGACTTAAAAAAAAATCATCTGGTTTAGCTTTCATGGGAAAACCTGGCCTCCAAAGCCATTTTGAGCTTTTCAGGCTCAAGAGTAGATCTTTAATTTGACACTTATATATGAGTTCATGAGAACCTGTTGTTCCTGAGTGATAACCTGGCTCCACCGGCACATATTGGTACAGTATCTTTTACAGCGAAGGTATGTTATGATTAAAAAATGTGATTGCAGAGACCTTTCTCATTGTCAGTCTCTGAATCTGCCCATTTTATTAACTACAGAAATCACACGTAGGTGACAGAGCTGGGGGCAACCCTGCCCCTCTGAGTGACAAAAGGAAAGCTCAAACTGCTTCTCCCAAGACAAAGCAGCGATCTCTTTCTCAGTATAGAAATTTCCTACACAAAGCCACATATGATTTTCAGATGCTCATTTTAAGTAAGGCTTGAATGAAAAAAATAATTATTTTCATAATAAAAAAACCCCAAACTTAAATTTTGATACATTTTTAAAAATACAAAACCCAATGCTTTTATCTCAAAGCGCTATACTTCTTGAAAACATTGGAGCTGTTGCAAGAGCTGAACAGACCATTTTTGGTTAGCTGTTGGATAGGCAATTTGTACTGTACAGAACAGAGAGTGCTGCAGCAGTGCTAAGGACTTGGAAGTTGAGTGTACAGTAGCGTTGCCATGTACTTGAAAGAGTTTTATTAATAGAGAGCTTTGCAGCATGAAGGAACTAAAAAAAGTGCTGTCAGACTGTCTCCAAATGCTTTGCAGATAACATACTGTCCAGCCATTCACCTTCAGCACACATAACTTTGTTAGCATGCAACTATACAAAATCTTCTTTTTTTTTGTTTTTTTTTTTTTAAAGTAGCAGAAGCATCTGGGATATGGAAAAATCTAGCGGCCTGTCTGTGTGGGGAATGCTCTATAAACAATTTAAAAAAAAAAAAAAAAAATTTATGAAATGAAGTCTGATAAATGCCAATTAATTCAGCATTACTAAACCCAAGTTTAGAACAACACATGAAATAATGGTGCACTTACTATGATCTAATTACAGCGGAATTCCCTTGGAAAAGAATATGACTTATGAATTTCTTTTCATTCCAATCAGTGTTTTTGAAACTCTAGGTGAGTTAGTGGGACACTTGGATGGTTTATGAAATGAAGTCTGATAAATGCCAATTAATTCAGCATTACTAAACCCAAGTTTAGAACAACACATGAAATAATGGTGCACTTACTATGATCTAATTACAGCGGAATTCCCTTGGAAAAGAATATGACTTATGAATTTCTTTTCATTCCAATCAGTGTTTTTGAAACTCTAGGTGAGTTAGTGGGACACTTGGATGGTGCTAGATTTTAAAACTTAAAACAAGATACTGATGTTAGAAGAAGCCTAACAAATACATGGCTGTGATTAATTTCTATTAAAAAGACAATAGAGAGTGCATTTTCTAAGCTAAGATACAACTTTGCAGTCAAAACCAAACACACACACACACTAACCGCAAACCCCCAAAAGGTGTATTCAAATATTGCAAAATAGGAAATTACTGATTAATTTTCCATTTACTAAATTAGCCCACAGCAGAACTCATCCCTCTTAAGCTGCATTTTATGTCCCCCTCTTCTCCAGAAAAACTATCTGCCATCAGGAAATTCCTTTGTGTTTAATTTGATTGAATTTGGAAAAATACAATTTATTCTGAGAAAAATAAGTACCATAGAAGGTTAGATCAGAGCACAGCATGGAGAATGCCTGATGAGTCTTATGCATTCAGGCTTTTACATGCATTTAAAAGGCTGGATTTCAAGGTCTTAAAACAAGCTACTGAAACTGCAGTGATAGTTTCCCACACTACTTCACTGACCTCCACATTTGAGACTGGCAAAGTCCAACATAAATACTAGTAATCTGGTTAGGAGCTAGAACTGCAGCCCTTGCATTGGGATTTTCCACATTTGCAGACACTGAACAGAAAGGAGTGGAAGATGACAAAATCCCATTTCTCAGAAGTCTGCATTCCCAGAACAAACCCTAACAGATGATATCCTGCTAAACCAGGATTAGCAAACTTGAATTGACTTCAGGAAGCTGAAGGATTTTTCTCCATCCAGAGCAATTCAAACAGGATCTCCTCAAGAGATCCTTCTTTTTAAAAACGGGACTGTGATGTTGGTATGCCCGATTTTTGCAGGGTAGCCTATGGCAGTTATGCGTATATACCACTCCAGAAAGCAACCTGGGTGCCAGCCCCCTCCACCTTAGGCAATTTGAACCTTCAGCTCACTGCCAGTGTGCTCTCACCACCAAAGCTTTGTGGAAAATGAGCTGAGGACGAAAATGGAAGGGAATTTGCCACCTCTTCTCTCGGTGCCAGATTACTGTGCAATTAGCAGTGCAAACCATATGCAGCCGCAGCAGCAGCAGCTGTGTATTACTGAGCTGCTAGTTGCCCAAGGAGTTGCTCCAAGGTCAGAACATTATTATACTGCATGTATTTCTGCAGTCCCAAATTAGATGGGATTTAAGTGGTCTGGATTTGCCTGAATGTTACTGTCTGTATCTCAGTTTTTAACAGCAACTGAGCACAATGGAAGCACTTTGTGGGTGGAAAACTTCCTGGTCAGAAATCCCCCCTTACCTTTAGCCACTGTTCCGCCTGCTCTTTGCTCTGTACTGCCAGAACCAGGGCATCCGCTCCTTGGTGCGAGATTTTCAGCTCATGCTTTTTCTTTTTGCTGTCTTTGGGAATGTATGTGATACTGCAATCATTCAGGAGCAGTTCCATCTGTGGCTGCTGGTCCTTGGAACTTTTGTAACACTAAATAAATGTAAGGAAAGTTCAAAAGTTAGATACCACCTTTCTGAACCTTGGGGGAAAGCTGTTATTATATGGAAATGCTATTTTTTAATTTTTAATATTTTCCGCGCACCCCTTTACCACATACCACAGAGTTCAGCCAACGCCAACTTTGCATTTCTCCTCCTCATCCCCTCTGTAAAGCAAAATTACTTCCAGACTGACATTAATAGACATCTTTTATTGCAGGACAGGTACAACATATGGAGAGCATTAAGGTTCTCTGCGTTATCCTTATAACTCAACCTTGAGCTTGATCAGGTGGGAAGAGGATGATTTAGGATATCTGTTCACATGCAGCAGCAGAATAAACTTGTACAGTTAACAACTTCAAAGCCTAGATGCTTACCCTGCCCTGCAGCAACAGCCTGGTGTTTCAAGGCAAACCTATGCCAGTGCCTACACGCTGCAGCTACAAAGGTGCTGGCACATGCCCTACTCAGCTGTTTTTTTTTCTTGAGATAAGTAGAAAAATTGTCACACTGTGGAAAGGGGGCAAAGTCACAGGATGGTAACTTTTTTAGCTAATTCAGTTTAATCAGTCACTGCACAAAACCGCATAAATTTCCATGGTAGTTTACTCTGTAAGCTCCTGTATAAAACTACATGACTAACCCGATGTTTTTTCCTTCAGTTGTAAGTGCTATCAATGAACAGCCATTTCATCCTGGATCACTGATGACCTGCTCTATGTTTAAACTGGTGATCTAAAGATTAAGGGTTTCACGTTACACCACTTGTCCTGTAGACCTAGTCGCTATTCCCGTCTTCTAACACATCAGTATAGTTGAGGTTCACCAAGTTGTCATAGAGTGCCAGACTACAGAACAACGTTTAATTGTGTATATGAATGTCCAGTTATTTTATATACTTACGTAAATTGGGCTTTTACTCATGCAAATAAGCACAAAGGCTACAAGGCTAGTATTAAATTAAAGACTAATTAGTATATGCATACATAGAATAGTTGAGTATAAATGTGAACAGAGAAAAGCACATGAACTTTTGCATGTCTGCGGCAGTATTCCAGTCATGATGCAACTGTCAGGAAGACAGTAGCTGTTAAAAGTATGCTATAAACACTACAACTTAGGCTGAGCAAATAGAGCCACTCTAAACCAGCCTCTGCAAATCACTCATAATCCTCCTTCCCTCTCCAAAGCCCATTAACTCAAAGTTTCTCTAGCTTGGTCACAGATTTTAAGTTTGTAACATTAAAAAAATATTAAGTTTTCAAGCTATGAAATCTTGAAAACATACAATATTAGTCTCTTTAAGAAGCAATAAACAGCATGTAATTCCCTTTATATTAATTTAAATATTTTATTTGTAATTATACATTACTAAAACTGAAGTATTTATATATTAAAGGACTTTAAGTGAAAAACTATTCCCTACTAAAAGTTATTTCTAATGTCTAATTCTAATTAAAATATTTTGGTTTTATGATGACAGCTGCATTTATAACACAAGCCATTACTCATCCCTAAGAACATATATTTGTTTTACTTGCATATCTCATAAGTTAAATGTCTAAGTCCTCCTTTAAACAATAAACCAATCTTGTGTAACTTGGTCGTTAGACTCCTATTGTGATTTTTATTTTCTTAAGCCCCATTACAGAATTACTGAAAGACAATCCCTATAAGGAAAAAACCAAAGCTTTTCAGACCACACATGTGGCTAAAGGAAATGAAAATACAAAAAAGAACATATTTCTATACAGAACAACAAATATAATTGTAGAAGAAATATTGTGTGACTTGAGAGAAAATCTGTTTTTTCCCCTCTTTCTTTTCTTCAAGCTGTTATCAGATGGTTCTGAAATTTGATATGATCCTGGTATATGGTGATAAAAATGTGGACTAAGCATAATGGCATTATAACAATATAATACAAACCGAATTGGAATCAACATTCTTTTCGACACTTAAATAGAGGAGGATAAAAAAATTAAATCCTCAGTAACCATTGAAAACTGGCAAATGGATTCCAGCTATGTTTTCAGAAACCTCTTACCCAGACACCTCTATTTCATATTCTGTTATTTCCTATACCGCCACAAGCATAAATGTACTTGGAAAGTGAACACATCTAAGCTATGTTGTCATACGAGTGTAGAATAATGAGGTTCTACATAAGATGTTCTATCACCCGTTAATCAGCTTTTAACATTTGGGATATTGCAGTAACTATTAGTTACATAATTAGTTACAACTGCTGGAAGCACCAGACAGGAAGACACGGAGTGCCTAAGACCCCAACTTATTTATTACTATAAGCATTAGTTCGTTTATAATGACACAGAAATGAGTGTTTCCCTCAATTAGGCCCTCTTTTCAGAAAACAAAAAGACATCTATGAGCAGATAATTTACTAACTTACGGAATCTTTTACTGGTGCCTCCAATCAGAAAGAAACATAACAGATATGCTTAAGGAACAAATACATCCACTTGTTTCTTTCCTTTCTATAATGCAGCTGTGCATCATGTGAATACTGCATCTGTAATTACTGCAGAACAGATGGCAAAGGTTTAGTTTAAAGTGTATACATTACCACGGCATATGCTGCCAAGTGAATGCTCAGTCTAACAAGGGACTTTTCTCTCCAGCGGTCTGTTCCAACAGTTCATACACAAAGCTCCCTATGAGATTTTTGGTCCACAGGGAATGAAAGATTGGATTTACAGTTTCAGCAATTTTTTTTCCAAATGAAATATGTTAGAAGCTAATAGGCCAGACTTTCTTTCCAATATCAGGGAACTGCCTGGGTTTAAGTTTAAGTGCAATAAAAATCAAAGTTCTAAGTGGCTAAATGATACACAATTTCAGTGCTTCTCTGCTTCTTGGGTAAATCATGACCGAACTCTTTCGTGAGGTTACTGTAGACTTGGCCACTGTTTGCAGAACATATTCCAAAAACCAGATTCCTGTAAAAATAAATACATCAACTAAAACGTACAAAGAAAATATAGCTAGATAAAAATAAAAATTACCAGTAGTTTGTTTTCTTTGATAACACACAGTAGTTTGGTCCATTGCCCAAATCGTTTCTTTCTAAGGAGGAAGGCACAGATTTTGGCATCCTTCACCAGATCCATAGAGGCCTCCTCGGAAGGCCACTGATGTCTCATTTTCTTCCCCTTTCCATCCTCCTCCTCTTCATCGTAGGATTCATAAGAGCTGCTCATAGCATCTGAGTCATAATCTTTAAGAAAAGCATAAAAGTGTCATTAAAACATTTAGCAATAAAGTGTACTGAAACAACTGAAAATCTCAACAGGGTTCATTTTAAGTTAAGGCTTTTGAAAGTCAGCCATGAACAAATTACTGTTTCAGTGCTTAGTAATATCAATACATTAAGTTAAATGAATAAGAGATGCTATTCCATTATGAAATTTTATAGAAGACCCATACTGATGCCTGGGGAATTTTAACTGAAAGAATGAGCTAGGAATAAATAGTTAGAATTTTAGGTAGTTTTTTATTATCTTCAAAATATTACTTAGCAGATAACTTCATCTTTTGTAATTCTTTTACAGAGAAACATCTTCATCTTGCCTTATTGCATAATGCAAAATGTAGGCACAGAAGTGTCAATATTAATACAGCATATTAAGAAACAAACACTGAATATGACAAAGGTCACAAGAGTAAATTATGGGGCACTATCTACCTATCATAACATTTCATATCATTCTCAAATACAGCACCTGCACTGATACAATTAATGTTGAATAGACAATGCTGTTCATTGAACTATGGATTCTGCAGAGTTGAAGGCATTCTACAAAAAACGTCTTGTTATGTTATCCTAAACAGTTTAATCCTGCTCTAAGTTCAGTGATGTAATGGCAAGATTCCTTTTTAATTAAACAATCTTTGTTCAGGCCTTTCATTTTCAACAATGCAATCAGCTCTAGCAGTCCCCTCAACTACAGAACTAATTTGCCATTATCACAGAACCCTCTCTTCCACCATCCATACTTATTTACTTGGTTATGTGGGTGTATAAGTAAAGCTCCTCAGATAATAACACCTGAAGGCATGCCTGTTATCCACTGGCACATGCTCCCATGGAAGAGTCTTGATTGGAATATTTTCAGTAGCTGAAATTTCATCCAAACATTTCAAGTAGACTTTGATATATTTTTAGGCCAGAAAGTGGAAGAAAAATCTCTCATTTGCTTTAGTTAGGTATTTAGGACACAGTTGGGATGTAGGAAAGAGATCTGGGACAATTGGGAAAAGGACAAGAGAGTGGATTGCTGGAAAGCTCATTCTAAATCAGTTCCTCCCTACGTGCAGAGTCAGAATGGGATATACCCAGACCTCACATCTCTGAATCAAGACTAGATATTCTGATCCTATTTGTGTTTTCACAAAAGCGTACAAAATAGTTTATCTTCATTCCAAAGTGAAATGAAAATAAAATTTCAAGCTCTTGAAACATATTTTTAAAATTTAATTTAATTGCCATCTTCTGGTCAATTCTGCTACGAAGTGTTTGGTTTGGGGCAGCTCCATACCAGCAAGTGGTAAAAGCCTCAGATGATTAATTAAATTAATTGTAGGAAGTGCTGATTGAGACTTCAAAGTAGAGATTTAAATTCTGCATGTTAAATATCCTACAGGTACTTCCTATGTGGCTCACAAGCAGTCCAAGTGCAGATTTCACGTTAGCAGTAAGTTGTGTGATCAGCAGAGCAACTCTGCTGGCAGAGCAGTTGCAAGTTCATCCAAATCTCTGTTTATAGGAGGATGAAAGCCAACAGGAGCTTCTGAGGCTGACATTTCTGGATTCCCATCCTTGCATTGTCTAACGGGATCTCTGGGGACCTGTTGCCATATCCTGCCCATTAACTACTCCCCATATTTCTCTTCTCCTTGGGTTGTGGGACTCTTGGCCAGAAGAAGAGTTTGCTGTGTGACTCACACGAGGCAGGATGACCACCCTGGAGTACTCATAGCATCCGGGCTGAAACCTTTGCTGCTCTTTGCCACATCCCGCTTCTATTCTTTGTTTCTCCAAACTGCTCTATCATGACCAAAACAAGGCTTTCAGGCTCTGGACACAAACTAGCTTCTGTTCACATTGTAACGTGACTATTTTAACATAAATAGCATAGGCCGTCTACTACCCGTACGTAACAGCTTTAGCAGACATTCAGAAAGTTATGCAGAGAAATCCAGCATGTACATATAATTTCAAAGGGTTTTGAAGCAGTATCACTTCCAATTAATATTCACTGTGAACCGAATCTGGGAAGCAGTAAACTTCCTGTTAAAAAATGCTAAATTGTGGAAGCAAACTGTGTAAAGGTAAGGCTACTAGTGACTAAATCCTGTTGTCTCTTATTGTCTCATCACAATGGGTAATGAAACAGGCTTGACAGTAAACTATAGGTAAGATCTGAAAACTCCTTGTGTATATGTTCAAGTCAACACACTCTTTGGGTTTTGGAGTGGGAAGGGGGTGAGAGAAAGGAAAAAAATACAAAACGTGTAGTAAAGATGAAAAGTGTCTCTCCAAAATTTATTAAGTCTACTAAAGTCTCAGAGACTGAGATTCACTGATACAACATGTTCCAATACTGCTGATCTACATTTTTTTGCATCTTCTGAATTTTCTGATTATTCTAGCTTCTTTTGACATTGGCTTTTCACACTTATCTTCATCAAAATTTTCCACTGTTAGGGGGTGAAAATCACAGTGGACTTTCACATTATTTGTAATAGTATATTCCAAAGATTGGTCTGTAATAATTTAGGCATATTGTACAGACCAGTAGCTTTTAATAAAGAGAAAGAGAGTTATCAGACAAGGCATATACAGTCTTGTTTTCATCTACATGCAAGTGTTGATTTACAAACAGATTATAGGGACTTGGGGAAGTTACAGATATTTCATTTTCATGATCTATATTCTGCAATTTTCTTCTGCTGCTGTTTGCCTTTATAGGTAGGTCACATGGTATGTAAGCCTCCTTGTTATTAATGACATTACAAAAATATTCCATAGGAATATTTACTTAAGATAATTATATCTATCCCAACAGTTGTTTAACAGTTTATTCTTGCACTTCTTACATTTTTAGCACTTCTTTGTCATGGTCTTCTCCACCTCAAACAGTCTGAACAGCTAAGATCACATCTTTGGTTAATACACTGCTTTTGTGGCTTTAATTACCACACACACTGGATTTAGTGGAAGTTCTCTTGAGTGGAGATATATTACTAATGGCATATTGAATTTAAAAGCAACTTTATTACCGATGAAGAGCAGAATACTTTTAATACAAATTAAAAGAGATGATAAGGAGTTCAGGACATAAGAAAATACAGCAAAATCACAGCAAGTGAGATGGTAAGTTACATTAACAGAGATTTAAATGTCTGGATATATATACTTACATTATGGAATTATTAATGAACTTTTAAGGCTAATATCCTAAATATTTTTATGGATTTGGATGGTTAAGTAGAGTAAGAAATCAGTTTCATATTTTGTCTTTTTTTTCCCTAGGCAATCATTTAGCAGTGCTATTAATATTTGTTCTGTTAATATTTTTCTGCCTAAGCATGACTCTTGTTTAATGACAAAACACAAATCAGCAGTTCACCAGATTACAGGGTGTAGCAGGACCACCCTGCAGCATTTCAAGGGGGGAAATGAAGAGAGGAGTGATTTTGCTGCTCTGGTAAGACTGTATGTTCCTTCATTTGCTTTACAATGTATGAAACTCTTTCTTACCTTGAATTTCTTAGGTAAATTAAGATAACTTCAGTTTGTGCAGCGTACAAGTGAAAAATTAATATTCTAAGGTGACTCCTATGCATGTGTTTTAAGAACAGAGATATAATTTTATTCATTTGTTCTGGTTCAAATAATAAAAATGCCTGTAAAATGGGGGAAGATATGCCTTTAATCTTTGGGCCATAGAAAATAACGACTAGTGATAAATCAGCCAAACACAAGTAATAAATTACCCCAGCCAAAAAAAGCAGCAAAAAGGAAAATCTTTGCCTTTTTTTGGCACATAATGTCCTGTTGACTGACCCTGTGTAAATGCTCACAGCAGTCATTTCATCGGTTCATCAGTGTGCTCTCAGCGTAGCTCCGCTTAAGTGCATAGGTCTTTGAATAAGTACTTGGACGTGAGAAAGAGCATTTCTGTGTTGCAGAAAGATGTTCTGGTGGTCAGTTAGGAGGCAGCCCTCTGCCTTTTGAATGAGTAGTCACAAAAATACTGTCATGTGCATCAAGCATGGCTTGTGGGAGCCAGTATGAGTGATTTATCCCTATCTACAATGTGTCATCAGTAATGCTGCAAATCACATCTTTTCAATAATTCCTTTTTTTTTTGATTTGTCTGTTTTAGCAAGTAATTCAGTGCAATAGAGGCATACCAGTAGATCTGCAGATCAGCGCCAGGTTCTGAGATCTCTACATTTACAGTATCACCAGTTTAGAGGGCTTTACTCTAGATGATACTTAACTGGGACTCCTGGCCCAATGCCCCCACCATTTCGTGGTTCAACTTTGTCCAAAAGACCAGTGGCTGCTTTGGACCCTCTGTCTCCAACAGCAGCTGAAACATGTTTATGTGCACCTAACTTGAGCTCCAGGTTAGTTTCCTCTAAAAGAAGCCTGGTTTGTGCACACCAAAACAGGTTGTGCAAATCAAACCAATGCATGGCCAGTGATGATAACCAGAACCGGCCCCAAATGGTCAAAGCCACGCTTACGACACATCACCACAGCACTAATAGACATGTAGGTGTCGAATACTAAAAAAGCTGAAAGACACGGGAATTACCAATTGCTCAGAAACTGGTCTGGATATATATTACTCACTGGAAGTGATATACTCAGGAGCCTTTCCAGGACTAAGTGGCACGGCCTCTTCATAATAGCCTTCGGGAAGGGAAGATGTTGGTAATGGTGGAGGCCCATTATCTGGTGGCTAAAAAAATGAAAAAAAGAAAGAAAAAGAAAAAGTGAACATCTATCACTCATTATGAGGAAGCAGAACCTTCCTGCATGTACTCCGAGTCCTTTGGGGATATAAACATAGTACGATCTTACTTGCCATTGTTAAGGATGCCAAAATCAAGATAACTACATTAAAAGAAGTCCTTTCTACAACAGCATTAAGTGGTAAAAATGTTGAAAAGATATAGTTCTCTTTCTAAGAACTAGAAACTTAAAGGGTCTGTGTAGGAAAGAGATTTCTGTGCATAGAGCATTTTACCGTGTTAAGGCTTATTTATTAGTATTTTACATCTAAAATAATTCGTATTGTAGCAGTGAACAACAGTTTGGTTGGACAGTTTAGAAAAGCTGAATAGCCTGGGCTGGCAGAGATAAAGGACAGATAATTTAGAACATATTTTCATGATGTATTTTGTTTTTCAATGGCAAATCAATTCTTAACATAGACATTAATTTTTAAAATGCTCTTTCTACATAGTGAAAACTGAGCTACAACCTAGGAAAAGTTTGAAACATCAAGAAACTATTATATGATAAAATAAATATTTCAAATACCAGGTCAAATTTTAAAATGCTTCTTTTCTAAATATAAACCTGTTTTAAATTTAAAACTGACCTACTGCTGGTATGTTGATATAGTAACAAAGTAAATTTAGTACTCTATGACTTCTTCCATATGACTCTACTGTTCTATTTCCTTAACAAGTACCAAAATAACTGTATTTTATAGAACTCATTCATATTTGCCACAGGTTTTTAGTTCCATATTTTCATACTGGAGAAAATACTGAAGTCTTTCTCCAACACCAGTGGTTTATTGTATGATTACAAAAATATAACTTGTAAGTAGAGTCTCATTTCTGCAGTAACATTTTTTCAATACATTTTTCTCTTTTTTCGTGTAATGAAAGAGATGTAACGGTGTTTGTCTGCATTGGACTGGTCCAGTCTAAACTCGGCGAACGAACAGAGATACTGAAGTAAGAAACTAGTCAGGGTGGGCTTTGCTCATGGTCAGATACAGACACTTCTGGAGTGCAATTCAATGGGCTGAACAGTCCAGTAGGAGCATGGAGCCTTCTTCCACATAATATAGATGAAGCCACAGTGCCTAGACTCCTCTTTTGCTATTGACCTAAGGTTACCCAGGAGGAAGCGGAGCTTTGATAACACGTGGCATTAACTGTAATGAAATTAATTCTGTGGGCACTTTCAGGCTTCGATTCATCATTGCAGGTTTCTGAGCTAGACATCTCCAAATCTCATTACCAATTACACATCTATGCCAGACACCTAATTCTTAACAACATCAGCAAGACGAGTCCCACCCTTAGTGTGCTCTGTAGTTAAATTCATATCAAGTAGGTTATTCGACCTTGCAGGTAAGTGCTTGTGTATTCTCGATGTGCAGGAAGGCAAGGAACTAGTGAATAAACCTGCCCTCATCCATCCAATCCACCACTGACTTCCCTTTGTGCACTGAGTAAAATCAGAAACTTCCTCACGAACAATGAACCGATTTGTGACTGAACACAGAAATTCTTGGTCAGATTGAGATTTACACTAATATTACTTCTGTATCAAATGATACAGCCAACTTCATGTGTCACACTCAATTACAGATAAGAGATGGCAATTACTGTTATCTACAATGTGAACCAAATGATTTTTCCTCACAGACCAGTTTTGCTAGAGAAATTATCTGTCAAAGAAGCAAAATAATGAAAAAATACGACTTTTAGTTTCCCTGTGATTCTGCTGAAAAAAACCCCAAATTGCAAATCTGCACATAATCACAAAACAAATAGTCTTTCCAGGTTAGCTGCTGCTGTGCAACAGGTGTAAGGGACATGAGAAAATATTACATGTTCATTAATATTGGAAAATTGACAGCACATTATGAATTTTGCCTTACACACCTGCACACATCAGCTCTGTGTGGCCTGGACTGCTAGACACAATAGGGGGAACTGCCTCCAAAGAGTTTGTATTTTCTGCCTTCACGCAGGTAGGCACAGCCTTGCTCGAGTGAGTCGGGGTCAAGGTTTGCTCCTGGGGCAGTGTAGATTCATACCACCCCTTTCATAAGACAGATATATTAATATCTTGGTCTAGCCTTAAACTATTTTCCCTGTCAGGTGTATATATGATATATGAAATTCCTATCATTATTAAACCTAATTCACCCAGGAAATACCCATCCTGAGAGCCATTCCAATTTTGACTTGACACAGCACCAACGTTTCAAAGCTATCTTTTATCCAGAAACAAATAAGAGGTTCCAATAAAGATCGGGGGGAAAAAATTCCTTGTTTTTAGACAAAATGTTATTCAGAAAGAAAGAAAAAAGGAAATGAAACACAAATGGTGCTTGTCTGAATTCGACCCTGCTGGAGCACCAGTTACTTCATACAGCTGGGGCGGGCTGGGCTGTGCAGCCAACGTCAACACAGATGGAATCCATTGCTGAATTAACCAGGCCCTCCTTTCTGAAATGCATTTTGCAGTGCTTGCCATAACAAAGTTGAAAACAGTTATAAAAGAGATTTAAAAAAAAAAATATTAGGAGAAACAGAAACATCCAACATTAAATACTTTCTGATTAAAGCAAGGATGCTTTAATATTGAAAGAAAATCCAACTGATTAAATACAAAATAAAAATACCTCACTCAAATCTGTATCATAAACAGCTGCATCTTTTGGGAGCTATGGAATATATGAGTTTGAGCATCAAGAAATGTAAAAAGTACATCTGAGCATTCTGATATTACTTACTAATATTTACAGTGCTTTAATTTTTTTACTATTGCTAGTTGTATTGTTTAATTCTTTCAACTTGGCAATTTTTTAGTGGAAGAATTTTGATGAAGTTATGAATTATGAACGGAAATAATTCTTGATTCAATAACTTTTCATTAGTTTACCTGAAAAATAAAAAGGCCATAAAACCACAAAACTATTTACATATTCTATAAAAGGATTAAATCTCAAAAAACCCTAGAACATGTGTAGTTTGAGTGGTATCAGGAGGAAAGACCTGGCAACCTGCAAAGAAGGCATTAGCACAAATTCCTACTTTTATTTTTTTTTATGACAGGCCACAGGGAAGAAAACTAGAGAACGCTGCCTTTCAAGACAAATAACCTTGCTCAATCACAGGAATAAGAACTGAGTTAGAAAAAAAATTACCACTATTTTTATCTCATTGGAGGAAAAAGGACAAAGATAAGTGAGATATTGTTGCCCAGAATAATACCAGTAATACTGAAGCAATACTGACAAAGATGTTTGTCAGGTGCTGGGTCTGAGATCAAATGAGAGATGCTTTATTTGAAATGAAGAAATGCACGGCGTAATAATTACACTACAGAGTTGAGATCTCTGAAAGACTGGATTGTGCACGGGCTGCCCAACTCCAGTTTACAAGAGGGACTGTTGAGAGAAAGAAACAAATATCTCCAAATAGTAAGCAATATTTACCTGGATAGTAAACCTCATTATTCTACTGGACGCTATGAAACAGACTTAGTGGAAATATTAATTTTATGGTGTATTATGGCCTTCCCCTCCACCTGCCCCTCTGTGTTCCGCAGACCACAAATAAACTCTTTCTTTCTTTGTCCTAGGAGATAAAATACTTTATTTCCCCCTTCTGGCCAAGGGTACCTACCAAGATAGGCAGTAACTTTTGTTGTACGGATAGTCTAGCTGATATCTGCTGACAATACGGAAGTATATAGTGTGGAAAGCAGTATGAAAGATAGAGGAAAATAAATGTCATCGTACAGGGGCCTGAGGATATAAAATCACTTTACACCCCAATGAAGACTTACACTGTGTAGGAAATAGAAAGAAACACCTCCCTTTATGCGATGATTTAGGACGTGGAGATTTTCAGTGCAAAGCAGTGACTTCAGCAGAGACTGTCAGTACATCCGCGCTGCAGGAAAAGGCTGCCAGCAATTCAAGGGCCATGCTCGCACGTGTGTTATTAGATCAACCACCAATTCGGATCCAGGCAGACCGTGGAGCCAGCTGCTACGTAACCCCTCAACACTGAAAGCAGCAACATGAGACTGGAAAAGCAGTCACACGTTGGTGATGCATAATAAAGCTATTCAGAAGGCAGCAGGCAAATGTGGGCTGTCAAGAAGAAACCTTGACACATGCACATGCCATTTGCTTTGGACCAAGCTTAGACTTGACCTCTGTACAACCCCACCGCATCCTCAGCCTGGAGGGGGAAGAGTGCTCACACGTATGTGATCCCTCTCCCCACATGTAAAAAAATGGATGTCCAGAAAGCAAGATGAATCAACAAACTGAGTACCAATATAATTGGCAAAATTAGACTGCACATCTCAACCAGGCTTTGTTGTACCACTGTAAAGGCTGGAAATTGGGCACCAGTACTTGCCACACACTTGGTATGAAAGCCTTTAGATAAACTCAAAATCACTAAGGCACTAAAAAGAAATCACCATTTATTGCCAGCTATTGAGGACCTGCATGGACATTGGATTTATTCAGGAAAAAGTGCTGACTATATGGGATGTTAAGAGCATATTGAGCTGTGCAGGAGTGAAATATTAGCCTGAGCGTAGACAAGCAGTAGTTGAGAAGTATTCTTCATTTGACCTCAACAGTGTATTCCAAAGTTATAAAGTTTTCAGCTTGTCAGCTGGACCCTACAAAACCGGGAGCCAAATAATGTGAAAGAAGTCTAACAACTTCTCTTTTCAGCTTCTGAGCACATTTGACAAAAGACAGCAAGCCAGCCAGCCAGACACCAAACTCAGCTTTTTGGAGCAGAGTAATCCTGTCCGTCCCAGCACAAGGTGGGTGACACAGCTGCATGACAGGCTGTTGGTATAGCCCCACCCAACCATCGCTGAGTGTACCCAAGCAATTACAGCACACACCTCTGGGACACCAGTGCTACCAGGAAAAAAACAAAAGGAATTGCCCAA